ATGACTTGTTCAACTTCAAATATTAGTGAACTAAAATGTAAGCTCTTATTTTTCCTCTTTTCTTCATTGCTTCTTTATTGTCTGCCGTCTTTAGCGGAAAATAATTTCGTCAAGTATGCAGATCTCAATATATGTACACCGGATTCCGTCTCATGCATTCCCTTGAATTGAATGATTTTTTCGCTCGTTAAAAGATGCTCTGTTTGTAATGGTCTCACACTGACGGATAAGATACTCTTTCCCATTTCTCTCTCATTTCAATTTATATAAAATTTATCTCTATCCATTCAGAGTTTACGATTGAGGACGCAAGGAAATCGGACGGTTGCAACTTAGGAATTGTGTCAGATATATATTCAACGCCTTAAATTACTATCGTATAACGTATGTTTTTCCAAACAAACTATGAGCATTTAGGTAGGTATCACGGCAGAAAAATGTTTGTCAAAGTGAAAGAAAGAGTATAGATAAATAATAGTCACAAGGCAATGGGTAACGCGATTAAGCAAGTGGTAGCTTAATAACATGCACGCAGAGGCAGTAAATCAGTTAGAAATTGAAAGCTAAAACCACCTCAACTTTTCGTTCTGTGCCCTACAAATTGGCTGATGGTTAACCGGCTCGGTAAGCTCAAATACATTGAAAGTTGGGTGAAAAACTGAGAGATTTGCGAAACAACTTGCAAGGATATTGTGGTGTATGTACAAATTGACGATTCCCTTATAGTTGATGAGTGTTTGAGTTCGAATTTCAAATACAACACAATCGTTCGTGCTCATTTAGTAACTCTTGGTTAAATTGCGTTTTATTCTGAGATACCTGCCCCGTACCATAATTCAAATACTTCTAATCATCACAATGGCGTCTTGATAGAGCCCGCAATGGAAAAGTCGGGGACTCACTCAACTTTTGAAGCTTTTGACGTATATTTGAACAGGTTTAAGATATTGGGCATGACCTAAAATGATGTGGAGGGTGGTAAATTTGTGACACATTTCCTTACACTCATTGGTAAAGAAGCCTACAAATTAATAAAATCTTTGGCATATCCAGAAAAGCTATCTGACTTCCTTATGCAAATCTTAGGGAACTACAACTAAATGATTTAAAGTGCATCAGTTTTGAACTTCATGAGAGGCGAAATTTCATAAGATAATCCATCAGAATAACCAAAAGGTTGAAAACTTCATCCTTGAATTGCAAAAACACTATCATTTGCCATTTTAAAGATCAACTTGATGTGTTGCCAAGGAATGTATTAATTGCAGAAATTAACATGCAAGGTCTGTAAAGAGGGTTGTTAAGACTACCGAACTGTTCATTTCAAGATGCTAAGAAGGTAAGTGTTCCAAATCTTTTTGATCAATTGTAAGTTCGTACTAAAGCATAATCCTAGTCGTCAATGCTCGAAGACTTCTGCACGAATATATTGATACATACGTATAAAGAGTTCATCCATTTAACAACTATAATTGAGAAGCATACTTTAAGCAAACTAATGTAATAATCTGTATATCATATTGTATAAATGACTTGCACCCTCCCTCGTAGAAACACATTATTACTTATTGTCAAACAGAAACTTATGGACACGTTATAAATGATGAATGCAGTTAACATACATACATACATACATACATACATACATACATACATACATACAAAAACATTTGTGGTTAATAAGCGAATAAGGTCAAAATGTATCCTGAAATGATTGTATAACCAGGCCTACCGACAAATATGGGGTCCATATATTAAAAGATAAAACATTTTCGCATGTGCTGGTGGATCAAAACAAGCGATAGCTTCATCAAGATGTCTTATAAATGCATGCGGGTTATCTGCAATGAATATTTCCGAAGAACGACTATACCAAATTAGTGAATGTGTGGAATTAATTCCGATTCAACATAAGTCTATTTATCCACGTTACCATAACAGACCTAAAACCAAAATTGTACATTTGGCATACCATGACTAACGAATCTATAAGTCACATCATCATATATACTGAATCGTCCTACTATGACAACTAGCAATAAAATGGTTAGTTCTTCTGAAGACCATATTGCAGTTGGAAATAACATAATATATTTTATGTGGGAAGGTATGAGCTGTATAATGTGACCACGGCTACAGGGCTGAACCAAGCCATTCCAAACAATTCTTCACTTGTTGACAATCTCTGGCCCTCTCTCCTTAAATGCTGGATGTGAATTTTATCAGTCATATTAGGTTTAGTTTGGAAGATAGTGTGGATGGTAAATCATATCAGTGAATTTGTCTTCTATCAGGATCAACGTAAAGTTTGTTCGATACAAAGTCGAATGGGATTGTTACGCGCCTAAAGTCAACATGATAATAACACGAATAATCCGAGTATTGACGAACTCAAAGATAAATCAAAATGACGGCAGCAACTAGTCAGAGGATGCACAGCATGTTTTAAAGTGTTTGGTTCACTCAACATACACAAAGTAAAACTCCACGTGGAGATTATTAAGACGCTGAAAAAGGTGGGATTATTATTGAAGAATGAGTTAGTATAGAGATACCTGAACGAGCTACGTTATGATGCGTAGCAGTGACCATTAGTTAACAGTTTAACTTACTAGCCATCCCCGTGCTCACAGATAGAAGAAAAACCATTATTGTGGAAAGTATGACCTCTGGTTCAAGTGAAAATTTGGTTAACTTCTTTGGGCCGTCCATATGTGTTTACAATCGGTTGCAAATACATCAGTAGGCAAACTGAAGGAAGGTATAAACGGGGAGCGGAAAAATCTCAAATACTATCCCAATTAGTAGTACTACGAAGATTTTTCGTTACTTCGTGAATACTTAACCATGATAGGAACTAGTATTACTACTAAAACCCATGGACTGGCTTCCTAAAGTCATTGCAACGACCGAACTACCAGTATTCGGTTTGAATGCGGGACTGACGAACCAAAACGTATTCGAATAGGCCAGACTACGCTCTTCTGTATAGACCACTTAGCGTTTTGCGACACTCGTATTAAATTATATCATAACACAAATTCTGTGCTCAATTTATACGTTTCTAATTTAAGAAATAGAACAAATTATATCAAAAATACAAAATACCTCAAACGATACAGCCTGTGTTATACAGTCAGAAGTTCCTTTAACGCAAACTAGCGCGCTAAACAATACAAGAACAAGTCAATACCAAAGGATTCTATTCCTGAGAATCAAGAAATATATTCCCAACAAACGGGATCAAATATCTACCTGCAGGGATTACAGAAATCCTCCCAAACAGACAGTCAAAAGGTTAACAGTCACACAATGTATCACGCCGTGACCTTGAGCTTAGTCAAACACGACCTCACTGTCAATAGTCCAGTAGAAAATTAGGTAACAAAAAGATAAGTCTTTAATCAAAATCACATAATAAAGACTCAAACGAGATTTGAACAAAGGTTAAAATACAAGACGGAGAGAAACAAATAAATGAAAATACTGTCCAACAAAAAGGCTGTGGAGGGATTTTCATCGTTCTCTTTCCGTTACAGTCATGCTTCATGAGAATTAACTATTTTCGAGGTTTGATTTTTTTTTCTGACTGCAGATACCCTATATTGAGGCGCGGACTACACTACGAGAGGATCAGTGCTGTAGTTCAAAGCAAATAACAGGTGGACCTAGCCGTTCTTCTTTAGACGAGTTCCAGAGCTGAGCATTAAGAGGGACATTCAATGATTAGATCAATTCACGCATTCTGCCAGTGAAAAGCCGTCTCATTATTTTCAACTTCAGCAGACAAGTTAAATTAAATAACCCCGCAAAATCGAATATGGAAGACGGCGGAAGAGATTTGTTTGTTCCTGATTATTTACGGTTCCACAATCAATTCCCAAACAATTGATAGAATATCCTAAATAAGCCCTACTTGACACAAAAATGAACACATCTTACGCCTATGAAGCTGGAATGTTTGAAGCCACGTAGACTGTTTACATATATCGAGATCGAAGTTTTGGCGCTTGTTCGTAGTTCTTGTTGCATCTGATTAGACTTCTGCCGTGTATATAGAACAAAAAACACGCTAGTAGTGATCTTGTTGCATGGAACTAAAGGCTTAAAGATATTCTGCAATTTATTATTTATGTATCAGTTGTGCTTCATAATTAATGATAACAAACATCAGTCCATAGAACTCAAGCCGCAGAAGCTTACACTTAGGTTGAATGTCAATAATTTGTGTATGAACATTTAAGGCTGACTGTTTGGAGCCACGGTAAAACAAATTCAAGAGCAGTTCAGCCGACAGCATGGACAAAAACCAGTGTTTACAGTAAGTCGGAAAGCACGTATTAAGTGCTAACGAGGGAAACTCCCTGGATTTATGACTGGGAGAATTGTGTTCCAGTATGTTTAAAGACTAAGGCTAATTAATAAAATGCACAAACCCTCATTTATAAGTATATAACTATCTCTTGAGGAGTTAATTCACTCTCTATCCAATGGAATACACTTATCCTTCGGGTCATTTCTTATTTTCATAGATTAGGCGACTATTGATTGGCTCGCCATATCATATTGGTAACCGCTTCTGAGAAGCGATTGCAATGATGTCCTACGATTCGCAAAGAATTGGTTTAATATATAATATCATACTTCTGGATGATATCGGTTGAATTGACCTATGACGACTAACTTATAATACCTACTTTTAGTTAACGGTCACGTAAGGAGCTGCAACTGGGAAAAACTGTAACATTATAAGTCATGTCATCTATTCAGTTCTTAAACTGCGAACCATTATTAAATACGTGGGAAAAATTCATAACAATCGAGACAGGAATGAGGTGAAAGGCGCTAAATCTAGAGCTCAAATAAACTTGAAACGATCCCAATAGCACGATACACTAATAACTAAGGAGAACTAAACCTAATAATGAACAAAACAGATTTCTCCATTATACATAAATATAGTTAGTGTATATAAGAAACGCGGCGAGAAACAATGATTACACAACAAATGAATGTATTGGTTTATAATATAAGTGCATATGAAGATGATAAGCGTGAATCAGGTATGAAAATACAATGGATACAACAGTATGAGCGAACAGTACAGTGAAAATAACGTGTGTACGTATATATATATAGCATGCAAATAAGGAGACTGTAGAATGTTTGTAATGACAAAGCAACATGTTTGCTCTTTATAATGTAGATATAAAAACAAAAAGCAATATCATACCCCCGAAAATATCGTGGTACATCAACAACAACAACATATGACCAGTTGGCATTATTAAACAAAGCGTTAGCGAAATAAAAAAACATTGAATGGTCAAGCCGATAGCATATAGAAGAAAAAAAACTATATAACTTGTTTAGTTAGCACAAAAGAACAAAGAATTAGTAAAATGCAGTTATAAAATTGATATTAATTAGAAAGTTAGTACAATTAGGGAAAACAAAGTATAATGGAGGTCATCTATCTTTAATAGAGCATATTTCACATGAGATGACATTTCTGTGTTAATGAGAAGAAACAAAAACAAAAAAAACAATGTAGATCAATAATACAATATGTACAGTTGGTTGGCGAGACTCTAATTTATGGATGAGCCAATCAGAATCGTTTTAAAGATTTCAAGGTTACGGCGCCAACTTCAGTGCTTAATCCTAACGTACGATCGGTTTACAGGGAATTTTGTACAAAACGTGATAATCGAACGGCTATAATTTGTGGACGAACCAACAGGTATGAGATAAGAGATCTCGGATTTTGGTGCGAAAGTCTTCCATCCATTTGGCTAAATAAATCTCTGGCGTTATAGCTTATATCAGTTCGTGATGAAAACCCTATATATAATTCCTAACTAAGGCAAATTATGACACTGCATAATAAAAACACCAGTAACACTGGCTGCAGCCAGGTATTACAATAAATACGGAAGATTGGAGAACGTACGGACACCTACAAAGGCTTCGTTATGTGCATGGTGTCGTTATCTACAAGTGGCATTTTGTGTACTCAACAACCACAGTGAACATAAACAATATTGAAGCTATGTGATCGAGACTGAGTTTTTGAGACGTTATCATTCCTCCAGAGTCCGACTATTCTGTAGCTGTATGGATGATTTTCTCTACTGCATGCATTACGATTTTAGAACCGCTGAATTTCTTTCTAACCTTGAAAAGTTTTTGAACCACGTGTATCAATTTTATTGCCTTGGTTTTGGAAAATATATTTTTTAACTCTATACTTACTGTTTGCTGATTGGCTAATATTCTGAACGTCAATTAAGATTTGTTCAAAGGTCGTCCATAAATTAGAGTTTTGCCATATCTACCAAGAACTAAACTAAAGGGATTTCATGTTACTAGCCTAAAATCGTAAATTTTTACTAAATATGTACTCGATTTCTAGTCATATATTATGAGGATGCTACCCGATTGCTTAAATAAATTAGGTAGGACAAGGTTCAGAGCAATGATCTATTAGTCAAAATATGTTGAGTACAGAAAAGCATTAAACCTCTACTCCAACATTCTAAGTCGACCGATAGGCCATTGTGAAAACATGAGTTACTTCAGTAAAAAAGAAACTATCTTGATGTAAAGCAACAAATATCTTGAAATTGACTAGATATAGATAGTCAAGCACCTATAGCGCATATCCAGAAACTTAACAATATACAAAGAAATTAATCCTGATGCTTAAAGGCTATATACAGTAAATCCAAGAAAGTTGTGATATGAAATGTTGTAAAATATATATGGACAACGAAACTATAGTTTACTGATATATAACACGATTATATTATTTATTTATTTATTTTAACACATAAGTATAGGTACAGGGAGGCACCAAATACATATGCGCCACACAAATCTCAATTGATTTGTGTGAGGGCTGTGATACTGCTCGGGTGCCCAAACCGAAGCAGGTGGTTTTCTTAGGGGGCCACACCCCGAGCCCTTGACCTGAAGATCTGATCCACAAGGCAGTGGAGCATCGTGAGGAGATGCAGTCCCATGGTAGCCGGTGACCAACGATTGGTTCATACGCCATTTGTTCCCGCAGGATACTGGAGCCCATGTGCACCATTGGTTTGGGGTCCGGTTAAAGCGCCAGACATTCGCTTTTCGTCCTCTCATTTTTGTAAACAACACCCCCGCCACGAGAAGGCAGTGAGTAGGACTTCCCTGGCAGAGGCTATATACGCATGGCCATGTGAGAGCATTTCGAGAGGGAGAGCGGACTCTCCCCACTCTCGGCCGTACCAGGGCATTTGGGGGCAACACGATTATATTGGTGATTTGAAATCTGTTTTACTAAATTCAGTAAGGTTTATAATTATGTTCTAAATCATGACACGATTCATATTATTCAGATTTAAGATAAGGTATATGTATTTGAATAATGATACCCTATTAGCAACTGAAATTAAACATAATTAGAACACTAACCTCATCATGTGCACGAACACCGGATTTACGATCAAAATTAACTCCGGGACGAATTTTTTCTCGTCTAACTGTGCATTTGGCTTGTTCCTTAAATGTAAATAATAGAATTAGACATATATATTAGTAGTATCAGTAGTAGTAAAGTAAATCTAACCACAAAGATATTTAACACCGAATAAATCAGAAAGTGAAAATTTTTAATCTCCAGTTACAATTTATTGATCAAATTTTCTGCTTATTCTGAGTACCTTTACATGAATTAGGCTTTCAAGTAGACTGAAGATAAAGGCAACAAGGTATGGTCAAATGATCAACATATGAATATATAGAAGAAATATATGGGCAGTTTTAGAATAAAGAATGACATTGTAACTAATTAGGAAACGCATGGAAATAGTCGGTTTGTGATGGAGTTGTGTTACAAATAAGCTGTATGGAGATGTGTTTTTTCGACTTTGTAAGGGTACTAGAAGTAGTACAGTTTAGTGACGAGATGTTATCAGGTATAGTCTAAAACAAATGCCAGTGAAAATTCAGTTCTAGTCTCTCTATACATTATTCATAGACGTGAGAACTACTTTAACTGATATATGTTTATTGGTTGTGTATATTTAACTGGACTGTTTTTCATGCTACGTACTATTTATAAACATATTTCTATTTCATTGATTGTAGGACTAAGCACATATATGCATCGGTCCAAGTCGCCATACCTCACTAGCACAGCAAGATGAATACCGGGGTTCATAGAAATAGTTAATTCAGTGGTGGTAATATATAAAAGAAAGATTGTATATAAGGAGTTGTTTAGCAGAAAGAAAGATATAAAGCAATTTTCATCTCATAGTTTAAAGGAAGATAGATAGTGTATACACCTACGCCATTGTGATAGATTCTGAGCTATGTCACACAGAGTCTCCAACCATTAGTTACGATAGTCACACGGACCTCAACCAATTAGTCTGCACCAATCAACATGGCTAAGACTAGAAGTTAGTGACTTCATCAAGCACTGATGTCACGTTTTCGTTTGGCCACCCCTAACTTTCTTCCAACCATTTCCAACACTAGTCAGCATCGCACGTCGTGGTAATCGGTGTTCAAACATACGTAGCACGTGGCCTAACCATCTCGGTTGATGAAGATCCACAAACTCATCAACTGTTTTACCAACGTTATGTCTATTTGTGTGGCAAATATACTTTCTTGGACATCTAGGCATAACAGAATTTAGTTTAATGTAAAAATTTGATTTCAATCAATCAATCAATCAATCACAATACTATATAGAAGAATAATGTTGATTTCTTTTTGGTAATGAAATATAACAAATAAAAGATGAACATTGATCTTTTCAACTTCTGATAAATAAGAATATCTACTGAAACCAAAAAATAAAATATTTGACCCATTAATGAACACCTAACAAAAATAATGAATACATTTTTTAGTCATAGCAACAAAAAACAAAAAAAGGTTCGCAATATTGAAACAGGAACATACATGTTTACTATTTAAATAAACAAAAATCAATTGGATAGTAACAGGAATGAACATGTTTCACTACTTCTTAAACAAGATGACTTCATAATTTTATTGATTAAATAAATAATAGTAAAATATTGACTAATAGAATGATAATTTATAAACGAATAACATACTTCACCATCTGCATCAAGTAATAGAATTGTTACTTCAGTGCCAGGATGAAAACTTTTATTCTTCATAGTTAAGTCAGCAGGAGGATTATGTGAATTGCCTTCAGCATCTTGACTCCAAATCTTAACAAAGTAAAAGAAGAAGAAATTAAAAAAGAAGAAACAAATATTCATATGGATTATTAAGTGTTTTTGAAGAAATTATTACCCCCCAAAAAACAACATCAAATATCAACCCTAATGTACATTTGTCAGTTTTCTACAACTAAGGTGGCCTGCTTCAATATTTGAGCTACTTGTTCCTGTCATCTAGATATTTCAATAAGTTATCTGTTTTTGTTTGTTTTAACACATCATTATGTCATTTAGCGTAATACCTATTCATCAGGTGTGTTTATGACTTTTTCGTTATACAAGTTACAAAAAAGCCCAACCAGAGACATTGTGGTGGCTAGCATTCAATATGTATTGAAAAGAATGAATATTAATCAGATGTCGATTCTCGAACTTGGTAATATCTAACAGGTGACCACTCAATATTTATCATCAACATCGATCAAGAAATAAGAAATGGAAAATTGTTGAAATACTTTGGGTTAAGTATTCTGATCTTTATCAAAGACATAATAATGAATAAAGCTAGTAATAATAATAATAATAATAATAATAATAATAATAATAATAATAAACAAGAAATAGAGTTAGTATTTTAATACAGATATTTGAATGCATTTGAAATTATGACAGAATATTTAGTCGAAATGTTATCCTACTAAGATGAGAGGAAAAGTATACAGGTTATGTAATACAATGATGGCAATAATACCAGAATCAAATTATTTATTTATTTGAACACATAAATATTGGTACAGGGGGGCACCAAATATATATGCGCCACACAAAACACTGATAATTTGAAGAGAAGGAGAAAAGAGAGAAAAAAAGTAATGAACGTGGGGAATTATAAAAAAAAAGGGAGAGAGAGAGAACAATGGTGGGGGAAACGGAAAGGTACAATCAGAAGAGATCTTTCAGTTAAGGAAGATATAAACACTTTTTATGAAGAAAGTAAAAGAAGGTTACAGCAGGATCGCCACTGGCTTCTATTCTGGACCATATCTGATAACGTCTCTAGCCACTGCGTTACACCGTCTCTCGGACCCCAACCAGGGAGTCGTGAAGGACCAACAGAAGCTAGCCCTTTGCAGCTTTCTTTCATACCACGACACCATGTCATATACTGACCACCTCTCCGCTTTTTCCAACCAGTCCCAGAGTCGGCAAATAATGCACGACGTGGAATTCTCTGGGACGACATTCGTAGAACATGTCCAAGCCACCGAAGTCGGTGTTTCAAGATGGTGACACCAATTTCATTATCGTCTCTGTGACCGAACACTCGATGCCGAACCTCTGCATTACTGACATGGTGTTGCCACTGGATGCCAGCAATCCTTCGGAGACAAAGAAATCGAACATACATTGATAATAATCGATGTTTTATGTTTTTAGTCAGTAATAACGTAGAACTTCATAGGTACGTACATCAGTTGCCATACCACATTAGCACATAGATATAATTGTACATTCAAATCCCGTAATGGTTGATGTAGTAAAAGTATAAGCAGTAATCAGAAAGATTAGTGTTTGGAGATGTTATTCAAGGAATATAATCCATTGAAACAAATTTGGAAAGAGAAAACAAAGGGATATGAAGAATCCAGAAGATTAGAGTTTGGGAGAACACAAAGAGAGGATACACATACGCCATTGCAAATGATTTTGAACCATTTCATTCAAGGTCTCTAACCATTGGTTGCTGTCGTCTTGCGGATCCCAATCAGGTAGTTTACACCTACCAACATGTCTCAGTTCACTTGTCAGTTACTTCATGGATTTGTGCAATGTTTTGGTCGGACAACCTCTAGCTTTCTTCCAACCTACTCCTACACCACCATTGAACGTCGCACATGGGAGCAGTCGGTGGTTGGGCATACGTAACACATGTCCTGGACACCTCAAATGTGTTTTATATCCTAGGATTTGTTAATTACATTCTGACCAAAAATATATAACTATTCTGATTTATATCAGAAGAGGTTTTCTGGAGATTGTAGTAATTTCAATGGTTAAGATCATGAGTCAGTTGAAGCTAGACCAGTAAGCTCTAGGTTTGAATCTCACAGGGGGCGAGGTCGTCGATGCGCACTGCTGAGGTATTCTGATTTAGTTGACGATTAGAAGATATAAAAATATACATACGCTTGACTATATGGTGACAACAAAAAATTATAGACGGGTTGAATACGTGATTGAAAACGCCAGCAAATATTTATACGTGGAGAAAAATTCACATCTAATGTTAAGATATTTGACAAGTGAAACCTAAACACCAAGAATCAACTTACCGTGCATAATGCTCCAGGTTTTAAGGAGAAAGCCCGTGAAAATTTGAAACGAGTCTCGTGACCATCAGCTTCATGAACAAGTTCCCAGCCACCTAAATTCATTTCCTGATAAAAACAAAAATGATCAATAAAACTTACATCTAAATCTTATTGTAATTAGTAAACCGGCTAGAATAACTAACCATAAAAACAGAAAAGAATCAAGAATGTACTCAGGGATTTGAAGATGATTAATCATTCCACTAACGATAATCTACAACCTCATGCGTCTCGTTTGCCCAACGTGTATGGCTTACCAAAGATACATAAAAAACATGTTCCTATTACACCTATTTTGTCAATGGTTAATTCACCCTATCACAGTGTTGCACAATGATTAGCGATTAAGTTGGAACCAGTTCGTCAACGACTAACCATGTACACAACAAAAGATTCATTTGTCCACACGTATCTGCCAAAATTTACATTAGTAGAGCAGAAAGGAGCGTACATCAGATTCAAAGAACATACCCCAGAAAAGCATTTAGCAGTACTATCTCAAGACATCAAGTCGACACACTGAAGTCTTTCAATGTGATTATTAAACAATTAAACTCCAATCTATAGTGAACAAACGTCTAAAAACTAGATCCATATGACCAAAAAGAAGTAGTGATAAATCTTTCCTGCCCTGGTAACACCACATCCTTTTTATTGCATCATTCATTATTTCAAATCTTTCCCAAGTTTGATTACATCATTGTCATTTTTCTTCAGTTCATAATTGACTGATTTCAAACTACATCTTGTATTATTACCATTATTCTGTTTTCAATTACATCATTACACAATCATCTAAGGTTTGTTAACTCTATGATTTCTAATCATTAGTTCAATGTTTTTTGGAAATTTCCCTGTCATACCCTAAATGCCCTGGTATGGCAGAGAGTGGGGTGGGTCTACCCTCCCTCCCGAAATGCTCTCACACGGCCACGCGTAAACAGCCTCTGCCAGGGAAGTCCTACTCAATGTCTTCTCGTGGCGGGGGTGTTGTCTACGAAAATGAGAGAACGAAAAGCGAATTTCCGGCGCTTTAACCGGATTCCAAACCAATGCTGCACATGGGCTGGCTCCAGTATTCTGAAGGAACAAATGGCGTGTGAACCAATCGTTGGTCACCGGCTACCATGGGACTGCATCTCCTCACGATGCTCCACTGCCTTGTGGATCACACCTTTAAGTCAAAGGCTCGGGGTGTGGCCCCTTAAGAAAACCACCTGCTGCGGTCTGGGCACCGAGTAGTATCACAGCCCACGCATAAATAAAATGAATGTGGCACATATATATTTGGTTCCCTCTTGTACCAATATTTATGTGTTCAAATAAATAAATAAATAAATAAAAATAAATTGTTTATCAGAAACAGTTTTTTTTAATGATCATATTAACTCTATTGGAATATTCGTTATATCATGAAACACAAATTCATCTTTAATCATCATCTTCATATTCATAAGTATATCAGTTTCTATGAGAACTTATCAGTTTGAAAACAGCTGATGAGAAACCTAACGAAATGAGATATATTCATACCATTCTTAATAAAGGAAACTATGTGTATTAAAACAGATTATCTTCATAAATTAACTGGAATACTTTTATTATGATCTGTTGTGTTTTGCAGTTGTTTTAATGATTTTAAATGACCTGTATGCCGAAAGATGATATGAAACAACTTCACCTCTAAAAATGTTATCATGAAGCTGAGAGTTTATAATCTCTTTAAGGTTAGTCCAACTCACTGAAAGATGAGCGGATGTCAATCGCTAAAAACACGTTGGTGAACATGGAGGGTTTACGAATATGAGGGTGAAAATATCAATTTCAAAACAATGATATACTTCAACTGTATGACAGGGGGAAGTAGGTGTGTATACTTAATTCGGCGCCCAGATACCATCATATTTTTTTAATATTCCCGCATTGCTTTGTGGATTATATCCTTAGTTCAGTAACTTGAAACGTGGGGACGTCAATTTGAGTGTCTGATTTTAATCTGTACAAATTAATGTACAGAAAAATTTCTCTGGAATTCTAGGGAATCTACCTAACAAAATTTGCTTCAACTCAAAGACTGGTATTGCAGATTTTCATTTTTCGGTTTGAAGTGTATGTTTTATTTGTACCTACCTACTTGAGGACACTACAGAATCGATGTCTGACTTTGCAATCGGCTACTAAATTAAAAGATCTACATAGCATATTAAACATAAGGATTTGAAAATGAAATTTTCAAAGAACTTCACAATATGAATCGAAGATGAGTACATGAACCCGTACTTAGTGAATGATTTAGACTATCTACTTAGTCAGGAAAAGAATGTGGCCTGTACGCAATGGAGGATGAATAAACGTTTTAACAAAAGCGTTGAACAGATATTGACTCCTTAAAGACAAAAATGAACAAATCAGACATCCAATTATGAACGAGGATCAATTGGGTTGGCAATGATTATTTGGGGAGTGGTATGACGAAACTTCAGTAAACCGTTTTTAGTTATGAAAATATCGAAGCGAAGTCACACTTGTTTCCTTTTGCTAATTACGCATGGTATGTGCACGAAGTCACGCGTTCGTTAAAGCGTAAAATTTACTGTGAAGTTGACTGCGGAGTCAACAAGGTGGTTAGTGCACTTTCGTTTTCGCGCAAAACGCTGACTGATGTTTCACTAAGTATAGGCCATGTTTATGTGGGATCCTTATTTTTACTGCATACAAACACGTGATAGATTTGCACTGTCGTAATCAATTTTAAATCGCTAGCAGATATCAAGTTTACTTTGAAGACCAATGTTTTAATTTATCCTTCATAACAGGTAGGCTTTTATACACCAAAACGTACCTGGAAACTACCGACAATTAGTCAAGCGATACCGAAATTCTGTTTCGTCGTAATACGCGTTTATAAAGAGTTAAACAAAGCCGATTTCTGTCAAGACTAAACCTAAAATGGTCTGATACTAATAGCAAAGACGCAGCAATGAGGAACATATTTTGAATGCTACTGAGAAAATGTAGCTTGTTTTACGTAAGTGGTCAGAAACATTAATTATGGTCACGGAAGGATTTTGAACCCGTAGTCTGACGTGAAAAAAATGCGGTTTCAGGATTTGAACCCATAAAGAGTTAAATAGCTTTCAAGGATGAAATATAACTCTAAACGTATCTTGGGACGTTAAAACACAAGTTGACTTAACCTTAGTATAATATATGAAATTCCCAATCATTATTTTTAGAGATTATTCAGATGCATACTACTTTTTTCTTTCTGAAAATACCTATTTAATATCACAAGTTAGTCTTACATCATTTGAAGAGTTATGTATTTTGATCCACTTGCCATGTGTGTCTTGTTCCTTGAAAAATTCTACAGGTCCACGTGCAGTCGATGACACGCGGTAGGCGAATCTTGTCCGGGATGAACTGTAACTGGCTCCAGTTAGACTGGCAGTCGACTCATCACCCTCGAAATCTCCATCTACACGCCTGCGTTTGACCGGTATGTTGAACGGTGAGTCACGGGGAGCCGGTGTCAGGTTGAGTCTGTAAGACAAGTTTAAATTTGATATACTCCAGTAACCGACAATGTTCATCAATATGGCTTTTATATAATACTAATGACAGAAACGTTGTTAGATAGGGTGAGAAAAACGAATAATAACTTTCTACAACTATTATATAGAATAATACTGGAACAAATATTCGCAAGGTAGGACCTGGTACAAATATACGTTGATTTGAGTTATCACATCTTACACAAGCAAAGTTGTAAAGGACTGAGAACAATAATACCAGCAAAAATGTAAAACCGATAGACAGTTATTATCAACACCCTTCACAGTCACTTTGTGAATACTACTAAGAAAATCTCTATATTATGGGTTTCGTTTGGTCATTAGTTACTTAGTGAGTTGATGTAATTTCTTGATCCACTTACCTAGCTTTTAACATTTGTCACTTACATGTCATATCTGGGATATTCATATTGGTTTAATTCGCTGTACTACATCAGCGCAGCGAGATAACAGAGTAGAAGTTGCGGTACCAATGACAGTAGGAAAGGTCAACCATAGACCATATGGATCGAGAAAAAATTATGAGATGGTTTTGAAACTCGGGGTCTAAGGAAAGCCAAAAATATAGATACATCTGTGTCATTAGATGCGATCGTGAGCAATACTCTAATTTGACCCTACGAGTAGGGTTGCTTGATGATTGCCAGCTTGCGTCATCTATAGCGTAGGCGAGATATTCGTCTATCAACCAAAGGACGGGTTTACTGAGCAGCAATCCGTTCCGTCCTACTTTACGGCAGTGAAACATGGTCAGTAAGAATAGAGGATATTCGTAGGTTACTAAGTATTCGATCATTTTATTTATTTATTTTAACACATAGGTATTGGTACAAGGAGGCACCAAATACATATGCGCCACACAAATCTCAATTAATTTGTGTGAGGGCTGTGATACTGCTCGGGTGCCCAAACCGAAGCAGGTGGTTTTCTTAAGGGGCCACACCCCGAGCCTTTGACCTAAAGGTCTAGTCCACAAGGCAGTGGAGCATCGTGAGGAGATGCAGTCCCATGGTAGCCGGTGACCAACGATTGGTTCATACACCATTTGTTCCTTCAGGATACTGGAGCCCATGTGCACCATGGGTTTGGGATCCGGTTAAAGCGCCGGAAATTCGCTTTTCGTTCTCTCATTTTCGTAAACAACACCCCCGCCACGTGAAGGCAGTGAGTAGGACTTCCCTGGCAGGGGCTATGTACGCGTGGCCATATGAGAGCATTTCGAGAGGGAGAGCGGACTCTCCCCACTCTCAGCCGTACCAGGGCATTTGGGGTGTCGTTGAAGCATTGTTTGTCTATCCTGGGACCACCGAGTAAGGAATACAGTTGTTAGGAAACGGGTACTAGGTAAGGATAGCAAACCAACTGATTAAATAGTGAAACTTCATCAGTCGAGATGGCTGGGACATGTTACATATGCCCAACCACTGATTGCCCCGACGTGCGACGTATAGGAGTAAGTTGGAAGAAAGCTAAGGGCGGTCAGAACAAAACCTGGCACAAATCCATAAAGTCTCTGACAAGTGGTCTGTGCCATATTGTTAGGTGTAGACTATCTGGTTGGGATCCGCGAAATGACAGTAACCGATGGTTAGAGACATTAAATAACATGGTTCAAAATCGTTTACAATGGCGCAGGTGCATCCACTCTTTGTGTTCTGCCACATTCTAATCTTCTGAATTCTTCATGTCCCTTTCTTTTTTTTCTCTTTCCAAATTTATTTCACTGGATTATACTCCTTGAATGACATCTTCAAAACCCAATCTTTCCGATTACTGTTTATACTCTTACTACCTCTATCACTATAACATTTGAATGGACAATTGTATCTCTGTGCTAATGTGGTATGGCAACTTGAACTGATGTACGTGTGTATGAAATCCGACGTCGTTGCTGACCGATTGTGGTTTACTGATTATGTAACTCAACTGCAAACTATTGAATCTCAAGTCTACGATTGTCTGAATCTATTATGGTCGGAGCAGTATCAACATAAAACAATAAGACCCGAAACAAATATTCAATGATTCATGTTACCATAATTTAAACCACGATATCGGTATGAAATTGGCAAAAGAACAGTGGCGTCAATAGTAAAATTTCAACATGGAGAATGTAGTTTGCCTGACAGCGTTAAGTCTCAAAGAAACTAAGAATAATGAATATATCCGCTCCACTACAGTCAGTTCTGAACCAAGTCATATAAGCTTCTCGAGCACTGGTCCGAGGGATAATCACGCAGACCATAATACAAAAATCCACAATTCCTAACACAGTTCAAGTTAAGAGTGATTTCGTACAAAAATGACAAGTTTTAGTTTAACAGAGAACAATCTTTACAAAACTTGTTTTCATCTCAACCAACAACGAACGACAATGTAAACGGGGTTAGGGCATGTATAACAGATGTTGATGAGATCTCGCAACTTAATCGATTAATATACCATCTTGGCTGGTTAATCTAACCACGTCACTACTCACTTCGGGATACAAATCATCAGGTACATCCTACCGACTTATGCTTTCCACATACAACGATCATCATTTGCCATTTTAAGGTGACAATTAATTCATATTAAAGCAAATTTGCTCTTTGTGAAGAACAAACTATCATATCATGTGCGGGAGGGGTACAAACAACCTCCTGGTTGGTATTTTCACAACAATCATAATAACCTTCGATGTTATCAAAGAAAATCAGTAGTGATGGAGGTAATGCTTTCATTTTTATTTTTTCTTTTAGCTTAATATTAATATATTACTCTTATTCTACCATCTAAAATATTCCGTTTAAACGACACCTCAGTTTAACTTTGCAATATTAACCTATATAATTTCAAACCGTTATGATGAGGCATAGGAACTTCGACAGAGGCATATTTATATGAGAACCCACGTCACGCATAATTGACTGACCATTAACTTATCAATAATCTCTAGTTTTAAAAAACACAGAAATCGAAACTTCTGGATTTGCAGTTTGAGGAAAGTGATTGCTACCACTTACCTTGATTCTTCACCCTCTAACATTTTTCGATACATCAGTATTTCTTGATCTAACGCAATTTTTGTATTCATGAGGTCGGTAAATTCACGGAAACTTTCTTCCAATTCTTCTTTTAATCTGTTTACTTCCTGGCGTTGGAAAAGAAGTTGCGATTCAAAATCTTTCCGTTCATCAGTTAACTGCCGCTCAAGATCTGCTACTCGTCGTTGAAGCAATTCCAGCTCAGCGATTTTCTTGGATAAATCGTGGGAAAGTTCATCAGCACGTTTGCGAGCTATCAACAGCTCAGATCGCTGGCGACTAGCATCTTCTGCACTAAAATTAGCTGATGACTTCAATTGTCCTAGTTTGCTCTATAACAGAAAAAACGTTAAGAAACATGTATGCTGAAATTTCCAGTTTGAATAAATCACCAACTGGTCAATAATCCGGAAATATTTGCTGGCAGAAATTTATTGAATTGGTAAAATATTAGGACGTAAAAGTACATATTACGAGTTAGATGAATATATTGGACATAACTAATAATTAGAACGACTCTGGCTCGGACGGATTTTACGCAATTCCACTGTTGCCCTGATATAATCATCACTCACTTTATTAATTAAACAGAAAATAAGATTTGTGTCTGAATGATTTCCGTACAAAACATTTGTTAGTGAACTAGGTTAAAAGGAATGCATATCGTTAAACCACATTACTTACTATCAGTGAGGTTGGTTAAAACTAGTGAACTGTAGTAAAACTAAATGTCTTAAAATGTACGAAACAACTGACCAAGAACTTGGGTATGAGCTAAAAATTAGTGAGGGTTGATGACACTACCTGATTACCTAAATCGAAGTACGCTAGGTGAGATTCAAACCTGGGACTCAGTGACTGAAAGTCGAACACTTTAACTACTAAGTTACTGCAATGAGACGATGATCTATGAACGACCTTTGAACACTGGACTGTTCACCTAAATAATAGGGTTGTATATTAGTGCGAAAAACTAGGATTGGGATTTACAGCTGAACGTCAGGGTTAGGAATTAGATTCAACGTTTTCACCACGAACTGACATCAACTATAATGTCAAAATGGTATTTAGCCAAATGAGTGGATGAATTTTGCGCCAAAATTCAAGACCTGCTATCTTAGGTCTAATTGGTTCGTCCACAAATTATAGTTTTATCAGTCACTGCTTCAAGTTGGCAGTGAGGTGTGGATAAAAATTTAGGTCAGGAAGAAACAGGTTAGTGAACTATACTTCGTGAATAAACTGTACAATGATGAAAAATAATTTCCCTCAAAATCAAGAACAGTGAGTTGAAATTAGGATTATTAAGTAAAGAATTAGTAACTTCTTAGTAATCCAACATTTCTGCATACATTTCGCTTTGAAAACCACCATATATTATATATATATATATATATATATATATATATATATATATATATATATATATATATATATATATATATATATATTTTTCGACAATTACACTAGAGATTACTTAGCACCGTTTATAAAAAGAAATAATGAGTGGAATGGAGCTTGAACATGACAGCATTGTTATTTGGTGCCAAAGCTAATAGTTAGTACGAAATAGCAGCCTTCAAAATTCACTCATATATAATAAATTGTATGGAAGTCTAACTGAAATCCTACTCGAGTTTTGGCATCATAGTTTGTTGTTTATTTTGTCGTTGATCTAGAAACCTGACCATGAATTTCGCAATATGTAAACAATTCATTTGGACAGCTGTCAGAAGCAATAAGCCAAGTGCATTTACTGTAAACAAACAAGACTTTTACCGTGGAAAATGTCTACTAAACAACACATATAATCATGTACCTCAAACGTTTCTTCCATTTGTATTTTATACTCTTCTAATTCAGAAGCGGTTTGGTCTCGAATTGATCTTAGCTCCTCTGTTAATCGACTTTCGTATTCAGCTTGTTTGCGTCCTTCGACCTCTTCTTCAATGTATAAACTGCGTTCAACTAACTTTTCACGTTCCTGGAAGAGATTAACAAATAAGGCGGACTTACTTCGTCAAACAACCGAGAACGGAAATCTAACTGCTCTTTAAGACCGAGGATTTTGTTTTCCAAATCAGTTCGAAGTAGTGTCTCGGCCTCAAGGTCTCGTTTCATTTCTTCGAACCGTTTTTCTAAAACATGGTAGTCACTAAGGAGAGGCTGTGAGATAAAATTTTAAGATAATTACAATCTACCTGGTAAGCATCATGATCTTGTTTATACTTACTCAGTTCCCTCTCAAGATTTTCTATCTTTCTCTGTAAGTTACGATTCTCTTGATCTCGTTTGTTGGCCTTCATTTTTATGTCATTCAACTCATCTCTCATTTGCTTGGAATCTAGCTCGGCTTTTGACTTTTGTTTAGCCAGATCATCAACTAAATTTCTTAAGGCTGTAATTTCATCTTCATATGTTTTCCTGGCTTCTTCAACTTTACTCTGCAAGAATTTTTCCTGAATATAATGCTAGTTACCATTCGTTCTTCTGTAACGGTCTGTATACGTCTAGTAAGTTTTTGTTTGTCAAGCTCTAGCTTTCGAACGTAGTCGATGTAGCCCGCAAGGCGATCATTCAGATGGGCAAGTTCATCTTTTTCTTCAGATCGACTAATAGTCAAAGGGCTACTAGATCTTTCACTGCGAGAATAGCTTTTGCGAGGACTTCCACTTGATGATGTATGGCTGCGTTCAATTGTAACGGATCGGGAGAACGATGTCGGACTACCATCGTTTTTTTCAGACTCCGCAACTTTTTGTTTTCTGGCTCGAGCGGACATGTCACTAACTGTGAAATACGTTGTAATGCAAAGTAAAGTTAGCGACCAACTTTGTAGAAATGATAAAAACATTCAATTCAACAAAAAGATTAACAATTGTAAGATAATTTATTGAAGTGTTTAGTCTACCCTTACTCTCAGGTAGTTATATACCAATAGTATTATGGAGTTATCTTAGGATATACTTTAATCTTGGCGATTTGAAAGTCATTTGATGATCAAATTCCGTCTGTACAGAAAACATGTTAAACCCCAGTTTTTATGAGTACGGTACTAATTGACTGCTAAACAGAGCCGAGATAAAGTCGACCTAATATTAAGTAATATTGGGACTAACACTAAATTCGGAAACCACTGATATTCAAGAACAATTGATAATTTATATGTTGAGCTATTTTTAGAGGTTATGAATGACAAAACGCACTGAACATCGTCAACGTATATGCATTGAGTATGGTTTCTGCACTCATATAGGTCGTTTTGTGGGAATTGTAATTTAATGATCTACTAAGTGAACTTTTCTTTAATGTGAAGAGTGTAAAGAAACAGCAATAACGTTTAGGTTATTAAACTTAGCTTTGAGTCAAACTACAGTAAAATATTGGTTTAATAAGACTCAAAGGAATCGGTCGAAATGTTAGATACCAAAACGTTTGATCTATACAGTACTGTGAAGTACAAAGTACAATCAATAAAATAAAAATGTTAGTAAAAAAAACAGTACGCAACATGAGAAATAATTCAGTTGAATGCACAGTCAAGAGATATTTTAGTTGAAGTAGTTTCCACATTTATAAAGAATTTATAAGAAAACTACAGCTGGGTTCCCATTAGTTTTTTTAATCTGGACAACATATGACGTCTGGTCACTGGCACGATGGTTCAGCACACCGCCTAGTGACCTCTCTACTAGCAGTAAGAACACTAACGACTTGAACTGATACACGCTTGCTTTAGTCTGCCATACGTTATAAAGTACAATTTAGTGGTCGGGGTTGTCAGATGGTGTAATTGGCAAAACGGGCTTGGGAATCATGAAGTATATGTCAACTTTCGGAAGCATTGGGTGGTCAGAATTGGTGAACATTCTGTAATTTACAAAAGTTTTCGATATTTCGCACTTACAAAAGCAAACTAACCATTCGTGAAGTTTTCCTGTTTTACAAAGGATTTTTTCACTTGGAAACTGTTAATTCGTTTGCAGTACTTCCTTGTGCTGTAAATGCGACAACATAACGTCCTGATTGTTCCCTTTTTTTTATCCTTCACAGTCAACTCATTTGAACTCTATGGGGAGCCACTACTAGTTTAATGGGCGTTGTGACACTAATAACAAGGGTAGATGCTATACACTATTAAAAGGTCGAAAGTCATAGAAGTATAGTGACTTCTTTATTGCCCTAAATTGACATGCACACTTAGATAACTGGAAAACACAAAAACCTAGGTACCGATAAAAGAAAACGTCCACAATACTTACCACTCGGATAACGTGCACCGGGTTCTTAAGAATCCAAAAACAGTACAGGCTTTAGAACATATAAACAACAGAAGTTCAAAAGAACAAAAAACAGTAAGTCTCAGATTTTTGATTAACCTTCAAATTTTATTTGCTTAAATAATAGAATGTTTGTTTCTAGCATGCTTCTTAGTTTTACTGTTTCAGTTCATCTACAGGTCCATTTAGCACGCTACGCATACGAATTGGAAGTATGGAACTGCAAGTACTTAAGTTTAGCTTATTCCAAAGCACTAGCCGTATCTCTTCTGGGTATGGTGTCAAAAAGATTGCCATATTTAGGCTTTTCCAAACTTTTGTTTTATTGTAGCGTATGCTTCACACTCAAGTTTAACGAGTATAAATTTTTAGCTAAGGCTTTTCTAAGTGATCGTTTTTAGTTTTGAATCTTTGTTGGTAATGAGAGGAGTTCTACTGACTTTTTGATCTTTGAAATTTATAACACTGCAGGGGTCCAGTCTAGCTTTGAATGTATCAACTGGTGTTGATATTACCATCTACCCTTCCATGCAAACAAATAACTTAGGTAATCCGTAATATTATTTTATCTGACATGCTCTCCATGAGTCCATAATCCTTTATATCATCGGCGAAGAGTAGGACACATGACTTCGCTACAGTTGTTAAGTCATTTAAACGACGTGGAAAAAGTAGAGGTCCGAGGATTGTATTTTGGAGAACTCCATATTTTACAGATTTCTATGCTGAGAGAGTCTTATTTACCCGTGCACTCTGTCTCCTACCACTTAAAAGGTTGTTAATTCATTGCATGATTTTATAATGGATCCCAAAACTTTCCAGTTTTAATGTGAGACCCAAGAGCTTTAGATCCAAAAAAGTCACATCCACAGGAATAATTTTGTTATTTGCTGCAGCCCGATCTCCTCTTCTATTGAACAGATTCGTCAGGCATGAAAGGCCTATCTTAAAATCTAGTTGTTCCTTGGATAAAAGATTGTTCCATCCCATATAGTTTTAAATATCCATCAGAATAATCTATTATACTAGTTTGACAACCGCACTAGTTAGACTAACCGGTCAATGGTTACAAAATAAATATCTGCCCCCAGGCAGCCTGAATTGCCGCAGGGACATATCAAGCAGTATGGCCAAATGTCCAGCAATTACATCCAACAGGCCTTTCATAATCCTTGGACAAGTATCGTCAGGACCACCAAACTTATCGTGTTTGAGATGTTTGAGCAATCGTAAGGCATTTCCTTCTTCAATAACTACAGGATCCATCGACAAGCTGATATTATCATAATTAATTGTTGGTCGTTCCCCATGGCAGGGAGAAAATACTTTGCTAAAATATTCTGAACAAGCTCTGGCTTTTGTGATATCGTTTCTTGGCGACATCAAAGGATTTTCTTTTATCACAAGTAGTAGGGTCCCATCACTCCCTAAAGTTAGCCACTTCATGTACGAGAATAACCATGTAGTTTCTTAGCTTCGTCAATAAGTCACTTTGATCACCCTCATTATATAAATTGTATAAATCGAAAAAACTTGAAGTAGGGGCGAGTGTATATATGCGAGCGCATACAGAAGCGAATTTATAGTCAAATCGAATCAAGGAGCAGATAGGAAAGGCAAAGGCTAAGAATAGGATTTGAAATATATATATATATATGACTCATCGAGGGATATTATAGCGATTGACATTTCAGCCAGAGAGATATGTGCGTAGACTGTCACCTGTGACCATAATAGTACGAAGAAATAGACAAATAGTTACTGTTCAAATAACCTTATCTTCTAAATAAGTTAACAAAAGGGTTTAATGAAATTCGACCTTATCAAAAATGAATGTAGGAGAAATGCCATCACACTTTCAGGCTATTTTTACAATCCCCAACCAATCATTTTTCATAAGAATGTCTAGTCTTATCTACCAACGCTTTACAAGCGTCCTTAGTTTTACAATTAACTGATCTATACTGTTCTGAGCTTGAAGAGATGAACATCTAAAAAGTTTCCTGACATGTCTAGTTATCCATGATGGACAGTTGTTTGATCCATGTGGTACTTGGCATGGTAAAAACGGAGACGTAACCAAACTAGAAGTACCTTTAAATATAGGTCGTGCTTCTTCAAATGTTGAGCTAGTATTTACCGGCCAGTCTGTTGTTGCAACCTGCTCATAAATGGCTGGTCTGCTTTCTCTCCGCACACTTGGATGAGCCTTAACCTGCTAGCATATCATGTCACAAGCCCTAAACATAAATGATGAAACAGCATTATAGGTATATGTTAGTGATAGGAGTATATTTACATGGGGGATATCCCCAGTCTCATGACTGGTTACTAATTCTAACAAAGATCCTTGGTTCGGACTAAGAAGTGTAGGTTTGGATACTTGTTGTACTAAGATATGCTTCATTAACGTTACCACGAACCTGTAGTGGTATTGCTTTCTAGCGAAACCATCTTTGAAGCTGAGCGTATGAGCACTGAGAAAAATATATATTCAACATGTAACACGGAAAGTCAAAAATGGTGAACGCGAGAACAACCGATCGATATGTCATGGCCGAGCCATGATAGGACGTGTTGGTGTGGAGAATTATGTAACTTTCACGTAAGATATTATAGATTGAATAGTCACATCATGACAAATCTACGATTTTGGGATTAGGTTTATTATTATAGTAACAAAGATAATTATACTAATACGAACTAGACAATAATCCAACACTGTCACTATAATGAGCTACGACTAAATAAAATTCAGATTGATCGCTGGAATTAAGTGCAGTGTGCCGTGATATGTAACATGTCTGAACTGATAAAAGAAAGGCTGAAGTATAAGGCAGAATAAATGTTTGGTTATTTCAGAGGAATAACAGAGGCATGTTTAACTTTCTCTAACAATAGAAATATTTGTACTATCAAAGCTTCATAGGTTTCATAACATTTTTCAGATACAGCCGTGTTGATATCATTAAGCTTTTAAATGTTTACTTAGCTTTTTACGATTCTAAACATAATAAATTCTTTACGATAGTGTATTAAGGTGGCAAAACATTTGAAGTCTAAAGAATGTGATTGTCATTATAGGTTCTTGAAGATGCCACAGGTATTTGGAGTTTGACAAGGCTTTAACCAGTAACACTTTCTACTATGAATCGTATCCACCAAGTGAAATATAAAAGACAGAGGCGAGAAGGTTCGATGATATATTTGATAGGCTATCAATATATGGAGAATCGACTGATCTAGACTGGCTAGCGATTGCAGGGTATGTTGAACACGGCGTTACCACTCATGATCTCGTGCGGATGCATAACCAAGCGCCTTCAGATAGGTGAGTCTATTAAAACTAGTGTGGTCAGTATCCAATGCCGAAGATTTACAGAGCTATTTATTTTGGGGATTTATTTACTACTACAGTCTGCTGATGGACGATTTAGGCTTTGGTTATCTATGTAGACGGTACGTAGAACATAGATAACCAAAGCCTAAATCGTCCATCAGCAGACTGTAGTAGTAAATAAATCCCCAAAATCAATAGCTCTGTAAATCTTCGACATTGGATACTGACCACACTAGTTTTAATAGACTCACCTAGCTGAAGGCGCTTGGTTATGCATCCGCACGAGATCACGAGTGGGAACGCCGTGTTCAACATCCCCTGCAATCTCTAGCCAGTCTAGATCAGTCGATTCTCCATATATTGATAGCCTATCAAATATATCATCGAACCTTCTCGCCTCTGTCTTTTATATTTCACTTGGTGGATACGATTCATAGTAGAAAGTGTTACTGGTTAAAGCCTTGTCAAACTCCAAATACCTGTGGCATCTTCAAGAACCTATAATGACAACCACATTCTTTAGACTTCAAATGTTTTGCCACCTTAATACACTATCGTAAAAAATTTATTATGTTTAGAATCGTAAAAAGCTAAATAAACATTTAAAAGCTTAGTGATATCAACACGGCTGTATCTGAAAAATTTTATGAAACCTATGAAGCTTTGATAATACAAATATTTCTATTATTAGAGAAAGTTTAACATGCCTCTGTTATTCCTCTGAAATAACCAAACATTTATTCTGCCTTATACTTCAGCCTTTCTTTTATCAGTTCAGACATGTTACATATCACAGCACACTGCACTTTATTCCAGCGATCAATCTGAATTTTATTTAGTCGTAGCTCATTATAGTGACAGTGTTGGATTATTGTCTAGTTCGTATTAGTATAATTATCTTTGTTACTATAATAATAAACCTAATCCCAAAATCGTAGATTTGTCATGATGTGACTATTCAATCTATAATATCTTACGTGAAAGTTACATAATTCTCCACACCAACACGTCCTATCATGGCTCGGCCATGACATATCGATCGGTTGTTCTCGCGTTCACCATTTTTGACTTTCCGTGTTACATGTTGAATATATATTTTTCTCAGTGCTCATACGCTCAGCTTCAAAGATGGTTTCGCTAGAAAGCAATACCACTACAGGTTCGTGGTAACGTTAATGAAGCATATCTTAGTACAACAAGTATCCAAACCTACACTTCTTAGTCCGAACCAAGGATCTTTGTTAGAATTAGTAACCAGTCATGAGACTGGGGATATCCCCCATGTAAATATACTCCTATCACTAACATATACCTATAATGCTGTTTCATCATTTATGTTTAGGGCTTGTGACATGATATGCTAGCAGGTTAAGGCTCATCCAAGTGTGCGGAGAGAAAGCAGACCAGCCATTTATGAGCAGGTTGCAACAACAGACTGGCCGGTAAATACTAGCTCAACATTTGAAGAAGCACGACCTATATTTAAAGGTACTTCTAGTTTGGTTACGTCTCCGTTTTTACCATGCCAAGTACCACATGGATCAAACAACTGTCCATCATGGATAACTAGACATGTCAGGAAACTTTTTAGATGTTCATCTCTTCAAGCTCAGAACAGTATAGATCAGTTAATTGTAAAACTAAGGACGCTTGTAAAGCGTTGGTAGATAAGACTAGACATTCTTATGAAAAATGATTGG